AATATATGAGATTAGTGCGATATAAATTCATATAACTATGTAACTGGATCTGTGTCTGAAGCAACCACATGCCCAACTAGTTCCCTGAAAGGCCGGCGTATGTGGCATTTACCATAAGTGTGCATTTTCTTCTATGATCTCCATGTTTCTGCTGTCGTCAGGAGATGCTGCAGGATCGCAATAAAGTGGAACCGCTTGTGAAGCTGTCGTACCCATTTGTACAGGCCTTTGACAAATATGTAGGAGAGAAGATGTCTATGAGAGTGAGTCTCGTAGCAATTCTGCCTCCAAGCCTTAAAAGTTTTCTTCTTCTTCTCTTTCTTTTCCTCCTCCTCCTCCTCCTCCTCCTTCTTCTTTATCTTCTTCTTCTTTCTTCTTCTTCTTCTTCTTCTTCTTCTTCTTCTTCTTCTTCTTCTTCTTCTTCTTCTTCTTCTTCTTCTTCTTGAGCTTCTTCCCCTCCTCTCCCTCATCGTCCCTCCACCCCCTCCTATTGTCCTTGATGCCCTGCATTCTCGTTCTCCTCCTTCCAGTCTTCCCTCTTCTTCCTATCCCATCGTCCTCCCTCCCTCTCCACACCAACATCATTATTATAGTTCCTGCCATTGCTGTCAGTCAACACCAGCCTTCTCACCCCTCTACCCTTCGAGCCTCACTCCCTACGCTGGTCACCATGGACACGTACTCCCTGCTCCCTTGCGTTCATATTCTTGTGCGTCCTCTTTGTCGCCTTTTTGTTCTTGGTCATCTTGGCCTCATCCTGTTAGCTTCTAACTTCATGCCACCCCTGCTTGCATCTCGATGCCCTGCTCACCACCTTCTTGTACCCAATGATATTGCGGTGCAGTGGCAATTCTCATCGAAGATCACCCCTTATCGACTCTTGAAGCTGTTCCTCACACTGGTTGGTGTGCCGGGGTTGTTGCTGTCCCCATCCAGGCCCCTGCACCAGGGCCATTGTGGCATACTGCGCATCCGCACGGGCCTGCAGGGCCCGACCAGACGGAAAGTAAGGCCCCTCCAGGCCGTGTGCAATGACTTGCTGTTTTCTGGTCGCCTGTAGCCCCTCTCTGTTGAGGCTGTACCATAGGCAGGGTAGATTCGTAATTTTGTTTGGCTGAGGGCTAACCGAGAGACCTACCTGTAGTGGAAATTTGTGAGGGACATACCTGCAAATTTGGGAAAATACAGGCCTAACACTAACTGAATTTCCTACTGGTACCCTAACTGCGAATAGCAGGCCCGGGCTACCCCTAGGACAGACAGGCCCTAAGGGCCTATGCTGATAGACGGTGCTATAGCCTATAGCCGGGTAAGGTAGAGGCGAAACTGAATCGGTATCGGTCAGTCAGTCAGTCCGGTCTAGGTCGAGTCTAGGCTAGTTGTAGTCGATAGATAGAATGGGCACATCGGTTCAGGGCTTTTGGCAGTTGGTACCGAGTACATCGCTGCTGCGCTACGCGTGAACCGGGAGTGGTGACGGCTCAGTGTGGAAGGAGACAGGCATAGCCAGACCTTCGGAGCGCCGGCCATAGCTGGGACCTGCGCTGTACTCTGCCAGCACGCAGGGACTGACAGAGGTCTGGGCTATCGAGGTCTGCTGGAGGCGAGAGAAGTTGGTGCCCTGCTGGACCCTCCTCCGGGGTGGGGTTCCAGGGGTGTGGCGCTGCAGCCATAGCTGCAGCTTCTTCCTCAGAGGTCATCTGTCAGGGTTTGGTGGCGCTGCTGCAGACTTCCACCCGGGAAGTCTTCCGACACTTCGTCATTATCAGATACTGTGGCGCTGGTCTTCTTCTTCATCCTCTGAGTGGCGCTTGGCCTCAGAGGCCTGTTTCAGGGTGGCGCTTCCCTCTGGAGGCTGTATCTGGGTGGCCCTTGATGATTCAGGGGCTCAGGGGTGTTACGAGTGGTTACTCAGGGTTGGGGAGTGAAGCGCTGCTCATTTCKGAGCAGCGCACTGTAGTACTGAGGTTATCCTGACAATTCGAGACTCTGAGTTTAACAAACAGTGTGTAACTGGGTTTGGACTATCATCGTTTCATTGTTTCCTGGATGTGATCTGCTTGGCTTTTCTTTATGACTGGTTGTGAGGATTGAGTGGAGTGAATTGCACTTTCAGTGTACCCTGTCGTATCGCATGGTCAAGTCTTCCGCTGTGTTTATCTTTCCCTGTGCGGTGTGATACTCCTATCCTCTCCCCTTCCTTCTGTGTATGTATGGGCATACTTGGAAGTCTATGTGAGTGAGTGTTGGTCTTCAGACAGCAAACAACCAGAATCATAACACCTGTGTCGTTTCAGCCTAAAAGCCTGAAAACGAGGGCCATTTTCAGGCCCTCATAAAGTCGACCTGCCCTGAAACTCAGGCACCAGACCAGGGTTTAGCACAGGCCATTTTTGGGCCTGTTTCAAGACAACCTTTGGTTGAACTTCAACGCCAGGGTCTGGCACGTTTCGGCATTGGCAAGAGCAGCCTCCCGGACAGGCCAGCACTATATATTACTGGCCCGCCCTGCAGACTGCAGGTAGATCACGGGGACTTCCCGGGCAGTTCACGGGCACTTCACATGCAGGAGGCAGGAGGCAGTCTTCAGGAGTTGGCCACAGCACTCTGGAGGAGTGCTGCAGTAGTAGTAGCTAGCGGTAGAGTGGTCTTCAGCGCTGGGCGCTGCTAGGAGGTAGAGTAGCGTTGGGAGAGAGGGAGAAGGGCGGAGGCCAGGGAGACTTACCTGTGGCGCCATAGCTCCAGCTTCGTCTTCAATGTACCTGCAACAAGGCGCCACCTTCACAGTTGGTACAAGAGGGAGAGAGAGAGAGAGTTCTTCTTCTTCCTTCTCTGAGTCCACCATCTCTCCCTCACCCTCCCGCCACCTGACTTCTCGGTATCTGCAGACTACGAGAGAGAGAGAGAGAGATTGGTGACTTTGGGACTTGACGACATTTGGATTCAGACTCGGCATTGGGATCAAGACATTGGACGAGGGATTATTTAGGACCTATATCGAAGACTTGGTGTTGACGACATTCCCATCTTCCCCCTCTTCTTCGTCTGATCCCCCTCCTCTTCGTCTGTGTATGTTTTGGGACTGGCACGTTCTTCCTGTATGAGCCCCAGCCCCCTTCACACCACGCGATGATGATGATATATGTTTGGTCTGCAATGTGACATTGATTGGGCTGATCATTGGTATTTTAGCCTTCCGCTGCGCTATCCTGTACTATGTGAGAGAGGTTGGTTCTTGTTCTGGTCTGCACCGTTACGGTATGCAACAGTTTGGTATCGGAGTGGACCTCTCAATCAGAGGATCCGCCCAATCAAGGAGCCAGCTTGCTTGTCGACTGATTGTTGAATGATTGATTGATTGATTGATTGATTGATTATTAGCGAATCAAGTAGGGCTCCGTCAAATCTCTGCAAAAAAAAAATATATTTCTCGCAACTTCGGATATTAGCATTTCGTTTTCGGTTAAACTCTGGGCATATAAGGTGAACTAGGGAGGTTGTCATATTCTCGGACTGGATCTATTCTTCTCTGAAAGTGGAACCTCCAGTCTATTTCGCGCAATTTTTTTTTTCAAGATCGCATTTTTTTTGAAAGCCGAAACTTTGCGGAACCTTGCCTAGATCTCGCTCATAGTACTCCTCTGAAATGCCTCACTGATAGCAGATCGACAGATATACAAAAAAAGAAAAGAAAAAAAAGGGGCGGTGATGCCCGGTGATCCTCTTCTTTTATTTTTTATTTTTAGTTTATTCTGTTGATTAGGACCAGGAATGGAAAGTGCAGTTTTGTTACCTTTCTGCGTTTCCCTCCCACCAGCCCTTTGTTTGCATTCCGGTCAGGTAAGTGCCACGTCAGCATGAGTGCCACGTCAGCAGTGGCATGTCAGTCGCAGTGCCACATCAGCAACAGTGCCATGTCAGCAGTGCCACAACAGCAGCAGTACCAACGTCAGCAGTGCCACGCCACCAAGACGGTTTCAGCTTTGGGCATGCCAGGCCAACTGGCCAACGAGTCCATTGCCGCGTACCGACAGCGGTTCCAAGCTCAGCTTGCACTGATCGAGGCTGAGGAACAGCGCCAGGCGGCAGCCGAGGCTGCCCTATACAGCTTCAGGCCGAAGCTGACGCAGATGCCCAGGCCCGCCGCAAGGAGGCCCAGGATCTGCTACAGCGGCACGAAGCCGTGAGCGTCGAAAAGCTCAAGTTCTGGCATTTTGAACCATCCGAGAGCCACGAAGACGCGACACAAGAAGAGCAGCACAAGGAGTTTCTCGCCAAACTCATGACCCAGTTGGTTTACACTTGTAACCACCTGCAGTCCGAGTTGGCGAATCTCCGATGGACAGTGCGGAACCACAAGGATCTGCACGAGGATGCTACACGGGCACTCAATGCCCGTGTACAGGACTTGGAGCAAGCATCACCAGGACCAGATGCTGGCGAACCCGGGAGTGCAGCCTCAACCCGCCAACTGGAGGAACGAGTTGACCATGTAGTCGCAATGCTCGGAGACATCAGCACCTTCACCGCGCCAGCCACCGTCAGCGAGCAGCTCGGCACCTTGAAGACCGAGCTCAGACAGCTACACCAGCCGCTCGACAACAATGGCAACACCAGTGCATCGCGACCATACAAGATGCCGACTTTCCGGATCGAGAAGTTTGACGACTATACACATCAGGACCCAGTCATCTGGAGGCAAGGCTTTATGACGGAGCTTGGGATTCATGACGTCCCCGCTCACTTGTACATCTTGGCGTTGTTCCTCAACGCCAAGGGCGGATGCCGGATCTCGCCCAGCCACATGGCAACCATCCACGGCGTCCAGGTCTCCGATCTGCACAAGAAGATCTCCTGGGACGAGATGACGAGGGAATGGAAGAAGCGGTTCATTGTCGACGACGCCCCGACGCTCGCCATTAACCGCCTCTTCAGCGTGACTCAAGGCAACACACCGGCACGCGACAGGCTCACGGAATGGCAAAAGATTGTGGCAACACCCGATCTTGACTTGCCATTCTCGGATCTGCGTCGGGAGTTCTACAACCGGTCGTGTAATGCCTTGAGCCTCGCACTTGGTGATCGAGAACAGTACATGACCTTTGCCGAAATCATCAACAAGGCGCGTGAGATCATCAAGAGCAACCGGGCTGCTGCACACGAGAAGTCAGCGTGGCAGCCAACCTATGTGGAGAAGGGAAATTTTGGTTTGGGTCCGCAGCCAGTCGCTGCAGTCCAACCGGACAACCTTGTGGAAGATCCGACAGCCACCCCAGCATCACATGAGGGAGATCAGGTGGCCGTCGTCCAGCCGCGAACAACTCCCGTATCAAAGGGAAGGCGAAAACAACATCACCGACAGGAAATGGACAGCCAGTACCATGGGTCAAGTTCAACTTGACCGAGGCCGAATACAAGTACCGCAGCCAATACGGCTGCTGCTATTGGTACAACGACACCAAGCACAAGACCTCCCAATGCCAGGATCAAGGCAAGGAGGGTGTTCGACCTCGAATCAGCTCGGGAGACTGAGTTGCACGGGAGGTGAGGCGACTCCACCTCTCATTCCGCCAGATTCATCCGCCTTGCTAGCGGCCTCCTACACATCTGGGGAGAATGCGGATGTCGCAAGTCGTCGGTTCACTTACGAGGATTACGCTGTCCACTTGGTCCCACCCTTGGACCAGCCACTCCACGTGCAACAATCCACAGCATGCACGGTTTCACCACCATCGGCAACCGATTCGGCAGCTTCGCCGCCAACTTTCGTCGGGGATTTGATGTCATGGTCAAGACTTGAGAGACTCGACCCGTTGACGTTGGCGGACTTCCAATGGATGCCCCTTCCCCCGACCGGTCGATTGCCGAAACCGCATTGCAACGTGCTCATGGCACAATTGCGGGATTACTTACACACTGCAGTATCAGCTTCGTTGATGGACGCCAGAGTAGAGGTTGTTGACCTTCATGACTACGTTGCGAAGATCGACCGCAAGTTCAAGACACAACCGTATGACAACATCGATGTGCCATTGTTGTACATACGCATTCAGATCGGGGAGGCGACCTGCAGCGCTTTGATCGATTGCGGAGCTACTCACAACTATATCAGCCAAGACTTTACGGTACGCTCTGGCCTTGGGCCACGCTTTCGGAGGAAGTTGCAGCCCACACAAGTCACGTTGGTCGGCGGTCATACACACAAGTCAATCGACCGGTGCATTGATTCGGTCCCCGTGTACTTTGCCCCGCATGCAAGCGAGGTCGTGTCATTCGACATTTTGGACACCCAGTTCGACATTATTTTGGGCATGTCATGGCTGTGAAGCGAGGATCACCCGGTGGACTTCTACCACCCCACCGTTCACGTTTGCGATCGGAACGGAGTACTAGTCCCATGCATGGTGCCTCCACCTCACCCTTCGATCAGCTGCCACGTGGTGTCCACCACAAGCATTCGAGCTTCCATCACCAGGGACGACATCGAGGAGATGGGGGTGTGTTTTCTCCACGCCCTCCCTCCCCAGGACAGCCCATCGACGAATGTATCAATGAACCCACGCATCACCGAGCTTCTCGATGCCTATGGCAACGTGTTCGAAGCCCCGCATGGAGTAGTACCGGATCGACCCATCCGCCACGAGATCATCCTCGAGGCTGGGGTCGTACCTCCACGTGGTTGCATCTACCCCATGAGCGAGGAAGAGTTAAGTGTGCTACGGGCACAACTCGACAACCTTCTTGAGAAAGGTTGGATTCGACCTAGCTCTTCGCCATACGGTGCCCCCGTTCTCTTCGTCCAGAAGAAGAACAAAGACTTGCTGTTGTGCATCGATTATCGCAAGATCAACGCGCAAACTGTCGAGAACGCTGGCCCTCTTCCGCGCATCGACGACCTTCTCGAACGGCTGGGCGGCGCTAAGTTCTTCTCCAAGCTTGACCTCAAATCAGGATATCACCAACTCGAGATCCGGTAGGAGGATCACTACAAGACCGCGTTTAAGACGCGATATGGGCATTTCAAATGGCTGGTTATGCCTTTTGGCCTTACGAATGCCCCGGCCACGTTCCAAGCGGCTATGACAACGGAGTTCCGTCACATGCTGGATAAATTTGTGCTCATCTACCTCGACGATATCTTGGTGTACAGCCGGAGTTTGGACGAGCATGTGGAGCACCTGAGCACCGTTTTGGAGCGGCTACGACAAGCCAAGTACAAAGCCAACCGCGACAAATGCGAATTCGCGCGGCAAGAGCTCGAGTACTTGGGCCATTATGTGATGCCGCAAGGCATCCCTCCCCTTGCAGACAAGATCGAGGTCATCCGCGTATGGCCCGAGCCCACCAACACCACGGACGTTCGCTCATTCATGGGGTTGGCGGGCTACTATCAACGCTTCATCACCGGGTACTCAAGGATTGCCGCACCATTGACGAGATTACAATCGCCAAAGGTGCCATTCGTATTCGATGACGACGCCCGTCGGTCATTCCGAGCACTCAAGACGGCCATGCTCATGGCACCCGTCCTTGGCATCTATGACCCCACCTTGCCAACGAGAGTGACAACTAACGCTTCCGGCTATGGCATTGGGGCAATCCTGGAACAACACGACGGCGACGACTAGCATCCCGTGGAGTATTTCAGCCACAAGGTGCCTCCCATCAACTCACTTGATGATGCAAGGAAGGAGCTGCTGGCGTTCGTGATGGCTCTCAAGCGATGGCGGCACTTCTTCCTTGGGCGCCATAGGTTCACATGGGTCACAGATAATAACCCGTTGACCTACTACAAGACGCAAGATACGGTGAGCAGTACTATTGGACGATGGATGTACTTCATCAACCAATTTGACTTCACACCAAAACATCTCGCCGGCCTCTCCAATCGCGCAGCAGATGCACTCTCGTGAAGAACCCGATCTTTGCACAATGACACATCATGCCTTCGCATTCGACGAGGAACTTCAATGGCATTTCATTCGGGGCTATGAGTCTGATCCGGATTTCGCCACACTCTATGCACAGTTATCTTCGGATGACCCGCCGGCTTCTCCACTCGTGAGGCAAGGACTTGTTGTGTGTCCCACGAGACCATCGTCTTCGGACTCGCCTTCTCGATGAGTACCACGACTCGCGACTCGCCGGCCATTTTGGAGTCAATCGGACTATCGCACGACTTCGGAAACGATTCCGGTGGCCCGACCTCATTACTGACATCACTCGGTATTGCGACTCTTGCAAAGTTTGCCGACGAAGCAAGCCCCGCAACAGCAATCCTTACGGCGAGTTGTGCCCATTGCCTATTCCACGAGAACCCGGCCTCTCCATTGCCATGGATGTCACCGACACGTTTCCTCCCGACCGCCTCGGGCACGACGGCATCCTCACGGTCATTGACCGTTTGAGTAAGTACGCACGATTTCTCCCTTGCAAGTATTACGCCACGGCTCCCGAACTTGCGCGCCTCTTGCACATCGGCTGGATTTGCAGCCACGGTGTATCGGAAGACATCATTAGCGACCGCAACACTCGATTCATGTCGGCATTTTGGACTCCTCTCATGCAGGAATCCGGCACCGAAATGAAACCGAGTTCGGCTCGGCATCCACAAACGGACGGGCAAACGAAGCGGGCACATCAAACCGCTCAAATGATGCTTCGTACGCTCATCCATCCGGAATAGAAGGCTTGGGTCGACCGCCTCCTCGATATCAAGTTCGCCTATAACACTTCATTGCATCCGGCGATCGGCATGACTCCATTCGAGTTGCACCACGGTGGCCGGAAAGGCCGTATCTTCGCTGATCTTCTCCTTCCACAAACAGCCGACATACGACAGAGACTAGCTAAGGAAGCTTCACGACCTGCCTCTCCCACCCGGACTTTGGTCCCTCCCTCAGACAGGCAGCTTCACCCTCGCAGGTAAGCTTGGTCTTTCAAGGAGGGGGGAGGGTGGCATACTGCGCATCCACACAGGCCCGACCAGACGGAAAATATGGGCCCTCCAGGCCCTGTGTCGTTTCAGCCTAAAAGCCTGAAAACGAGGGCCATTTTCAGGCCCTCGTAAAGTCGACCTGCCCTGAAACTCAGGCATCAGACCAGGGTTTAGCACAGGCCATTTTTGGGCCTGTTTCAAGACAACCTTTGGTTGGACTTCAACGCCAGGGTCTGGCACGTTTCGGCATTGGCAAGAGCAGCCTCCCGGACAGGCCAGCACTATATAGTACTGGCCCGCCCTCCAGACTGCAGGTAGATCACGGGGACTTCCCAGGCAGTTCACGGGCACTTCACGTGCAGGAGGCAGGAGGCCGTCTTCAGGAGTTGGCCCAGCACTCTGGAGGAGTGCTGCAGTGGTAGTAGCTAGCGCTAGAGTAGTCTTCAGCGCTGGGTGCTGCTAGGAGGTAGAGTAGCGTTGGGAGAGAGGGAGAAGGGCGGAGGCCAGGGAGACTTACCTGTTGCGCCATAGCTCCAGCTTCGTCTTCGATGTACATGCAACAAGGCGCCACCTTCACAGTTGGTACAAGAGGGAGAGAGAGAGAGTTCTTCTTCTTCCTCCTCTAAGTCCACCATCTCTCCCACACCCTCTCACCACCTGACTTCTCAGTGAGAGGGAGAAGGGCGGAGGCTAGGGAGACTTACCTGTGGCGCCATAGCTCCAGCTTCGTCTTCGATGTACCTGCAACAAGGCAGCACCTTCACATTTGGTACAAGAGGGAGAGAGAGAGTTCTTCTTCTTCCTCCTCTAAGTCCACCATCTCTCCCTCACCCTCTAGCCACCTGACTTCTCGGTATCTGCAGACTACGAGAGAGAGAGAGAGAGAGAGAGAGAGAGAGAGAGAGAGAGGGGGAGGGGGGGGGCAGAAGCAGGGCTGCATGGAAGAGCGGTGCAGGAGGAAGGGCGGAGGAGGGGGGGTCTAACCTGTGTCTGCCATATTCAAGGGGCGTTCAGGCATCGTCCATCGCATCTCACGGCCCACCAGTGCCAACCACAGTCCAC